GGTTTAAGACAAAGTCCAGGATTGAACTTATGTCTTATTGCGCTTTCGAGTGAGAGTGAAGGTAACACTGGGTGGTGAGAAAACGGGAAGAACCTGTCGATAGAATAATTGCTCTCCAGAAATGGCGAAGCGAGATAGATAATTTGGGAAGGGCGTATGATGTTGGGTGGAGCATATGATAAATCCATGAGCGTAGCGCTTGAGCACTGTTAAAGGCAAAGATCAGGATAAGTTATGTAGTAATCCCACTCAAGCATGAATGTAGGGATGCGGGACACAAGTGGAGAAAAAAGGAAAGAAAATCGTGGAAAACACAGAGAATGCGGGCCTTCTTGCTCTACTTTGCGAAGAAGTCTAACAAGGAAAGGCTCTCAGGTCGCCATGGCCATTCAAGAAGAGATGTATACCGCTAGATGTGCCTTTGAACGCTGATCTCAAATCTACCTTCCAAATCTGCTAAACGATTCTCTGAACGGAGTTATGAAGCAAAACAGCGCAACGGTAGTGGTCGGATCACAGTCAAAACGTCGTAGGATCGGCCCCTGATCGCGTCTGCTGTTTTGCCTTCTTCAGGAGTACAGCTAAAAAGCGATAACCTAGAGCATAGTGAATGGTTGCACTGTGTCTGTTAGTTGAACTTCGCAGTCTCGGAAGCAAGCTATATTTCCCTATGACGTTTGCAATGCTTACCGCACGTTGGCTAGCTCTATCACATCCCGTCAAGAGTTTGAGTCATCGCAGAGGTATGAGCTGTGTCGTACAAGCAGATATGCAAATTGATTGTAGCCATGCTGGAATAGAGGCCGGGAAATGGTCTAAGGTTCTTACCAGCCCCATGAACGACTTGCACACTCTTTCTATCTATCCATCGGGTCTGTCAAAGGCATATGGTAAAAGTCAAACTTTATCAGAAAGATGCGAGGTTACGAGAAAGTACAAAACTTGTTAGTATACGACATCTACGCTCAAAGGCAAACTGGCAGTAGCGAACCTTATTTCTGTGGATTTTGTCGAGGTGGGTCACATCTGTTTTGTCCGAGATTCCACCATGGACAACGAAAATGTTTTTGTCAATGATGGTGGCGATCGGCAACCACGAGAATAAGTCCTCGAGCGTCTTTGTGATCGTAGTCGAATGATCCTGATGCAGCAAACTCTCAACAATAGGGCTACGAGAATATATAAAAGGATTTGTGGAAAGTTGTTGTGAACAACACTAGTAGTTGTTGTATTCTGGAACTCCGAAAACGATGCGTAGGCTCTCTCCTTTTATCTCCACCTTTTAAATTCACAAATGAGATGTGCTTTAACTCATTCAATACCTATTCCCACTCATTTCTCACCTTGTACTTGGTCATTAGCTCTTTGGTGAAGCCGTAACGAAGATTCATGATGTGATCCTCATGATTGCCTCTATTGAGTGTGCTTCTATTGAGTGTGATTGCATTCGGATCCAGTACCGAACAGTGCTAGCAACACACACAGCACCTGCAAATAAAATAATTATTGCATAGTACGAAAGATGCAAAAAAACAGATGGAGCTGCTCGAGTAGACTGGTTGCCTTTAGGCCGATGTCATAGTTTGCGAATCGAGCGATTCGCTAGCGAATCGCTGGATCCGAGCGTTGCGCCAGCGAATCGAACGTTGCACCAGCGAATCGAACTATGTACCAGCGACTCAATAGTGGCGGGACCCAACGTTCAAAGGAAGCCCGCCACTTTCAAACAGTGTCCACTGCTCAAAGCGACACTGAAGTGGCGGATGGCTTTGAACTCTGGAGGAGTCGCCGCCGATTGAGTCGCCGGAATTAACCTAGTTCAACCGCTGGTACTCGTTCGCATCGGCTCGTGATGCGGTCGATTCGCTGGACGACAAAGTTCGATTCGCTGGTGCGACGTCGAATCCAGCTATTTCGCAATACTATGGTACATCGGGCTTATCGAACGGGGGTCGTGTGTCTTGAGTCTTCTGGCTGTCATTTGCTATTCCATCCACACGTTCTAGTCATCCTTTTCCGCCTCAGATCTTTCGATCTTACCCATCGCTCTCCTTACGCCTTTACCATTATGCAATAAGTTAGTTCGTCTCCTATATCTACGATTTAGATTGTAATAAGGTGTTGAGGTATATCGTATACGTGTCAACTATAGATTCGCCGCGGACCTCTCTTCAATTGTTTCGGTGTGTGTCTCTTTAAGTTTTTCGATGATGTTAAGAGGGAGTACGCATCTAATTTCTACGTATATATTGTATTGAATTGAATATATTGTAGTGTACGTAGCTTCTCCTGTTCCGGGTATTCAGTTTATTAGGCGACATAAAGTAGTATAATATAGTCTATTACCTCTCGTAAACTTCAACACAGATTACGGCGCTGCGCATCAGTTACGCCAAGCATTGCATCAGCAGTCTGTCATTAGAATTTTTCTATATACACTTTTCATTTCTCCTTGCGCATATCCCAGCTTCTGCAACCGACGCACCTGCTCGTGGTGTGACAGCAGGCGAGTTGATCGCTCGTTGCAGGGCATGTCAAACGTTCTGGGGGTGGGGAGATCAGCGTCACGTTTCTTCCTTGTGAGAGTTGTTGTGGGCACCGACTGGCAGCCTCAGAGTTTTCGCCACGCACGGCTTATGGATACCCGGGCGCACTACGATCGACACCGCGCGCGTTGGGAGTCGAAGCTGGTATTCGCACTCGACTCGAATTGGTTGACTGTCTCGGGTTTTATCTTCCAAATAGGTGTCTGTACTTCTGGTTGATCTCTTCATCGCATCAGGAATTTCAGCCTACGACTCAGTAGTAAGCGCGTGCAGTAGCGTAACGCAAGCAAATCACTTTGGGGCATGCATTTAGCATCAAACTTCCCGGGAGAAATCCCTTGCTTGGTGACTCTTGCCCAGGTATCGAGAGGTGAGCCTCTTTAAAGGTGTGGTGGTGGAGAGAGGTCGTATCAGACCCCAAAGACGAAAGCCTCAAAAAGTTTTGGAAGGAGGACCAACGCACCGGTTCACCGTGCTCCTTCCCTGTGACCCACCTAAAAGAGCATAACAACCAATTGCCGATTCACACGTGACGGGAAGCTCGGTTAGTAGTTGAAGTGACCCTGGTGCAAGTTGAATTGCACGAGCCTCACATTGACGCATGTGCCAAAGGATGAAGGTTCCGGGTACTAGCGCTGATTCACGCAAGCACCATAATGGCACTCGTTCTCAAGGTGCAGTCTTGGATGCAGCTGCAGACGATGAGATTGGTAAATCAAAAATCGTGAGAAGGTAGTGAACCTCAATTGATTGACCTCCTCGATCAACGGAAGTCGCCGTTAAAGATATACGGATTGTCAAGTGATGGATAACCGTTCTGAAATTTAAGATACAGGCTCGCAGTGATTTGATGTCGCTCCACTCACCTTGTAAAGAATAATGCACAGATCATCAAATTTTCCGTGCAGGTCACCACATACCGTAACCTTAACAATGACATTAGCTAGTGAGCAGCTTGTAGTATTAGCAACAAACGCATTTCACCTGATTGGAAATTGAGGTAGAAAGACGAACGATCGTGGGCTGCTGCTTTAGGAGCCGTCGAGCCTCGAAGAGTATCAATAACTACGTATAGCCGCACATGCATAATCTGGAAGACATGTTTCCAGAGTTGTGATTGTTGAGCGGCCTATATGACGTTTCATGCCATTAGAAGTGACTAATTCAAAGGCACATTCCATTTACTGTGGCATTTAAATGGTGGTGGTAATCATTGCGTGGAGTCGATCGCTTGCTATAAACACTCTACAGTGTCGCTTTTCGATATCTAAAAAATCTTGGCTGACCGCTGACCGAAATTCGATGTTCAGTATTATTCTTGAGTATACATATGATATCAGTTAGAGGCGTCAGGTTCAAGGTGTGGTCTTTGGCCCGAATAGTGAACGAGGAGTTTATTTGTGAAGGGAATTGTACGGTGGAGACGACGCTTGAACTCGCTACCTCTTCTTCGATGAAGCGCAGGTTATACGTGATCATTGTTAATATCTCACTTCGAGCTTCCACTTTAAAAAGTTATTCTTGTGAATCGAGTTACAGAATGTGTCCCACTTATGTTCAACAAGTTCAGAGGTCTTTTCTGAACAAATTATGCAGCCATACCATTTACTTGATAGTTGCTTACCTCGCAGTCTCACCGTTGACGTTAATTACCATTAAAACTTTGGCCACAATCAGGTACTTACAGGTACGTAAATCCTACCTTGTTTACTTTGAAGGCTTCTATCATAGTTGCTATTTGCTGTTTGTCGAGTGGCAGCGTGAGCACAGGTCCTTTGTAGTGCTTCTCGACGGTCATATTCGCTGGATTCGCCTTCTCCATCAGTTTCCGGAATGCATCGTCGCTATCGTAATCTTCACCGATGCACACATTAATGACTACGGCTCAACAAATTCGACCATAATTTACTCACCTTCTTTCGCATAGGAGCTGATCGCTGCAAAAAGAATTATTACTCTGAATGACTTGAAATCATTATAAACGAATAAAACCAGACTGACCGGAGGCGAATGGCGAATTACCATCTTCTTCGCTTTCGCTGTTTACCATAGCGGTGATCACATCACTGAAAAAGTCGTACAGCTACAGGAAGGATATTTCAACGTCCTCTCCTTGCACATTACTTACCTTCAGCTGGTCCTGTTCGCCGGCATACTCCAGAGTGGTAAATATGCTCCAGGTGGCTCGACGTCGTGCCTCTAATCGGGCCTGACATCGTCGATACCATTTCTGGATCAGAATCGCCGATTTGATCGCTGAAACGGACAGCAATTTGGGGAGGTGATATTGCGTGCAAGAATGTGCGAGGACAACAAAAACTGTTGTGGACTAAAGAAAACACGATACAGTACTAGTAGGAGTTGGTAAAGGTGCCGCCGACGAGTTCCCATAGCATTCGGATGAATAAGTGTGAAGAAAGGTGCGACTTAGAATGCGAAGGAGTGGTGCGGTGCTTTTCTCCGAAAGGTTCCGTCGATGTCAGATGGGCCTTTAAGAACTGTGACACTAGTGGTAGTGAGGCTGTGGATTGTTCATGCTAAGCTCACGTAGTTGAGCTCGAGGCGACGCAATCGCAGTCGGCGACGTCCGCATTGGCACTTGAGAGTTCGTTCTAGACTCTTTAACCGGCGTCTTCACGAATGCTGTAAGCCACGTAAGTACGTTTTGGAAATTCTGATGTAATAATTTTGATTCTAACAGGTTTCGACCTCACTTTATGGGGAATAATAATATGCACCAAACAAAAACAATTCCTTGTCGCCCTGTGCATCACATGGTGATGCAAGCCATTAGCCAAAAAAACGCGGCTGCGCGCGCTTAAAGACCTTCAGTAGTGTACGCAACAAGCTAAAGTCTGTGTCTAGGAAAGGTTTTTGGGAAAAGTTTTTAATCACGCTCTGCTTCCTTCTAAGTTATCCATTAATCAGTGGATCTGAAATAATCCTGATCAGAGCTCTCACATGTTTGCAGAGAAACAACAACAACGACATCTAAATTCCGCTTCACATAGGATGCTTGTAGTAGAGGCTAAGATAGAATTAATGTTTAGCTACCGGCAACAGCGATGATGAAAGTATAGAATTCAAGTAGAGGATCGTATAACGAAAGAAGCGGACACCCAAACGGGGGGCCCGTCCTTTAGTGCCGTTGGACGTTAGCCACATCGGTGTGGGGGCTTTCTGTGCCTCTAGATTACGCCATTGCCATGGCGCAGCAATTGAAATTGAAGTGCTCGATCTGTTGAGAACAGCGGGAGTGATCGCTGGCTCATATGATCTAACGTTTCATCGAACTAGCGCTCTTTACGTCCTTCTTCAAATTCAGAGATGGTAGGGTACAGCGTGGGAGCAAACGCTGCCATCTGGCATCACAGCAATAACCCACTAACAAAGCTCCGAATCTGACAGAATACTGATAGGTTCCCACTTTGCTTGCAATAGCAATCAGCTGTTGAATAAGGAACCTTCTACATTTGCATTCAAATCTACCTCTATCACATCGATACATAGCCTGAGCCGTTTAGCAGGGACACGGCATCGTGGCGGCGAATAGGTGTACCGATCTTGACAGTTCGTCTCGGGACGCTTCAAGAGAGCTTGGGGAATCTGGTTCCTAGCAGCTTCTGCAGGGCCTCGGATCCCGGCCCGGGCTAAGCGAGGTGGTCGGTCAAGTTGAAGGGCCGACCTCCCCTCCTCCCTCCAGTAACAATCCTTCTCTGAGTGCAGATGGGCTGTGAATTGCTCTTGCAATGCATGTGTAGTGGCCAGAGGACCCTTGTGGTTAGAGAATTTTCGAGCTGGCGTGGCGTAGCGTGTATTTTGTGTACGTAGCCGCTTGACTGGTGGGTTTGCGCACTTTTCAAGGTGTTCTATGAAAGACGGCGGCAACAACCAGCGCAACTCTTTGGGATAGTCCCACCCCTCTACCTGGACTGGTTTCCCTTGGTTCTATTCGAATGTCCCTCCACCTCAGGGGAAGGGTTCACGAGTTTTATTATTGGGTTAGAACCATTTCGTTGTCTTCCATTAGGTTATATTGATAATCGTAAATTGAATTGATTGGAAATTGATTCTCTTTTGTGAAAATTTTATTTCTGCACACCGTACGCTCAACCTCCTTTTGTGGTCGCTCTAAGGCCGTCATATCCTTTTTGGAATGTTCCGGCATCCCAAAAACTAACTTGGGTGCCAAGCCGAAACACAAGGGAGTGGTCTTAACGTCGCTGTTCTTTTTTGGTCAGCAGCGATCCTTTGGTTGCCTCGAGTGGTCGCTCGCTGTTACATTTACTGCACAAGTAGTGGCTGTTCAAAGGGAGCGCCCAGCTTGCTGAAACAGTGTGGTTCAGATTCCTTCATTGGCTGAGAATCGATAGTAGTGCACCTCCTTTGTTAAAGGTCAACTCTGCCCAAACTGTTATATGACATTGGTTGGAGGAACTTGACTCCACACAAACCTGACGGCGCCTGTGATGGCGTGGTGGCGTTGGATGGGCGCAGGAAGTTTGGAAGTAAACACACATATTGCAGAGCTGGCCACACCAGAGGAACGCAGTATGGCGGAAGGTTTCCCAATGGCACTTGGTGTGGACAGGGACCAAGGGCTGAATGCGTTTAAGTTATGTCACGAGGCACCCGAAAGATTCGATATTTCCAAGTTTGGAAAGGGAAAATTGGGAGCAGCAGGCGGCAGGACCTGGATCAAAATTGGGTGTACTATGACTAACGTCCCCATAAAATTTCTCATAATAAGATTTCTGAGATAGTTCCAAGAATTGATTATGGCTAAGACCAGATGAAATAATCGCAGAGTTAACCTTTTTCACCTTTCCGGTTTGAAAGAACTTCCCACAACCTGGTCTTTCATGAAATCTTAGTAGGGAGCAGAGCTGCAGAGAATGCGATGCGAAAAATTCACTTCCACAGTACTTGTTTAGACGATAACTCTAGCGTCATAGTTTTCGGATTTCGCTCAATATTTCACGTTTCACTCTAAACTTATTGTTACCACGAGAGAAAGCCCGCCCTAATGTAGTAGTAGGAGTGAACATGAGTCATGAAACCGAAAAGGGATAATTAAAGTCACAGGCTAGGCCAAAGTCAGGTTACTCTTTCAATTCGCTGTATTGGATTGAGCCGCAGACGGAAGTCACAGATGCACATTACGAGGCGAGCTTCTCACCTTAGCATCTAAAATATCGTATTTGAACACCTCATTCCTTCTTCCTGGACATGTTGAATCAGTATGACCAAAATTTTCATCACAAATGGAATTCGAACCCGAGCTTCTCTTTCTGACTACTGCTTATAAGCTGCGCAATATGAAGAGCCACATGTGGACGAAATCTAGTAAGCAAGCAAAAATAGGCTCTACAGGCAGGGACTGTGTTGAAGTATGCTCCTTGGGATCCATGGTAGCCTATGGCCGTCTTAAGTATTTTCAGCTGGAGGCGGGTCATCAGCCATTTTTTTACAAACTGATGTCGTGGACAGCCCTTTTGCTCGATGTAGTACTTCGCTAATCGGCTTTTCTCTCTTTTCCTTCTACTTCTTGAGTGGTCTTGCCTTCTCCTACGTAGCACAAGTTCCATCTTTACCACATCCTCGTAGGGAAGTTGCATGATGATTGAAACGACACAAATTGCAAGATTTTCTATATCCCCAGAACTGAAAATATCCTCTCTTCTTCCCAAACATTTGTTCTCCTCGTATAATACATTTTGGCCAAAGACAACCTCTCCTCCCTCCCCCGTAGTGATGACGCTACACATAGCCGAAGGTGAAAAGCGAGAGCAACGAGTGCGATGGTTAATGCATACAACTGCTGAAACGGGGTAGTACCACAAAATTTCCATGAAATCCTCACAACAACAAGCTCCTACCCTCTCTGAATCCAAATTGCATATTTTTCGTGTGAACCGTACTCTATTTCAACAAATATGATTCATTTTCTTCAGCAAAACACGATCACTCC